ACTATATGGACACAAGTATAATAAATAATGAAATTAATATAATTCAGGCTTTACTTCTTCAGCAGAATAACAAGTTTTTAGCCACCAATCTCATGATATATTACCAGTAATGAATAGAAGATGCATACTAAGCTTTAGTTTGATGATAGCCATGAATATGAAGGTTTTGGATATCACAAATAAAAAGCATTGTGAAGAAATGAAGATCATATAACAGAAGTATTCCATTGCAATGATAATGCCCCAGTAAGCAAACAGCTAACAGAAGGTGAAATTTGTAGTATGGTTCTAAATCCAGAAAATTTTGCTACCGATAGTGAACAAATTGAGAATTGTTGTTAAGGAATTAAACAAAAAATAAATTAAAAAAACTATGAAAGCTTTACAGATTTTACATTAAGCCCAGAGGGGCATTTTTTTAATGTTTTGTGTGTCGCCTTTATTTATTAAATATCATGTTCTTCACACTTAAACCATAAAATTCAATTCAGCAGCAATATCTAAAAATAATTTTAAAATGAGCATATCTTTAGAATTTCAGCTACACAGTTTTGTGTGCTGGAGATAAAAATGCACTTTTTTGGTACACTGTTGCCATCGCTTGTTTTGAAATTGTTGAGTTTGTTAATAAAAAATTCATTAAAGTTTTACAAAATATGAAATAGATAATAAAACAAATTCTAAATTGGGGCTTCCAGATACCCATATTCGGGTGGAAATGTACATTATTCAAAATTTTATCATTGTTTTATCAATTCGAGAAATATATATATATTTATGCAGATTCTTCATTATTTAATTTGTTTAAATATAATGCAGGGCTCTAATATTTGGTGGCAACAATTTGAAAAGTTAACTGATATTTATAGTGAAACAACGCAAAATGCCAAAACAAAATAAATAGTCCTTCTATGCAAATTGCCCCTGTGGACTTAAAATAAATAAACTGATGAAATAAATAACTGATAATTTATAAAAATTCTCAACATGATAATTACACCACTTTGTACTAAAGCTGAAATTATGTCTACCTATAAAATTAAAGGGAAAGTACTAGAAAAAAAAAAAAAAAAAAAAAAAAGAAAGAGGAGTAATTTAAAACCACTTACACTGAAAGAAATGCTTAATAAAGCAAACAAATAAAAAAAAATTTTTTTTTTTTTTTTTTTTTTTTTTAAATTTTGATTCCCTTAGGGTCATAAATGCTTCATTATTAATAAAGAGTTTTAGACTTTTAATTACATAATTTTTACATGTCATTTTACTAAATTTAAACTGGTTATCTAAATTCCAGAAACACCAAAATCACAATGAGTCCAAATCTCAGACTTTATACTTTCTTTCTATAGATACACGACATTCGATAATTATTTTCCAAGAAAAATTTGTTTAAAAAAAATAGAGTTTCTCTATTTTAATCTCATGTCGAAAACTTGACATTCTCCTGCTTAAGCTAAAACTTTTATTTAAGCTGTTTGATGTACTGATACGGTCTCACTGAGCTCTTACATGATTTTACATCGATTGTCAAAAAAAAACTACTTAGTGGAAAGTGGGGCTATATTACACTCTTTCAGTTCTTTTAAACAATTTTATTGAATTTTAAATAGCAACATAAGCAAAAGAAAGATGAAACTAAAAAGCAAAATAGCTATTTTATTAATCAAAATGTTCAAAAAACTGATTAAGCAAAAAACAAAAAAAGGGAGGACGGGAAAAAATCTGTACTGTTTCAAACTTTAAATTACATCCAAAGGGGCATTTTTTAAACATTTTGTGTGTTACCTTTATTTATTAAATATCACATTCTTTGCACTTAAACCATAAAATTTAGTTCAATAGTAATGTCGAAAAATAATTTTAAAATGAGCCTATCTTTAGAATTTCTGATACACAGTTCCACGTGCTGGAGATAAAAAAAAAAGCGCCCCCGCCTGTAGAGTGTTGCCATTGCTTGCTTTGAAACCCTTGAGTTCGTTAATCAAAAATTCGTTTAAGTGTTACAAAATATAAATTTAATAATAAAACGAATTTCAAATTCAAATTAGGAGCTTCCAAATGCCTATATTCTATGGAAGATTACGTTATCCAAATTTTGATGGCTCTAGGTACCGTTGTTTTATCACAATGTAAGAAATATACATACATTTATGCAGATTTTTCATTATTTAATTTCTTCAAATATAATGCAGGACTTTAACTTTTTGTGGCAACAGTTTGAAAAGTGAACCGACATTTATAGAAGTCCGACATAAAATGCCAAAACGAAAGTAATAGTCCTTCGGGACAAAAAAAGAAAAATTATTTGTTGAGAGAAAATAAAGAAATCATTATCCTATGCATATTGGGCTTCCCTTGATGGCAGCAACAAACTGATGCAAATGCTCAACCACAGGCCTGAAAGAAACAGCATAATCAGCTGCAGCACTCTGACACTTAAAACGACAGAAAAAAAAAATTTTCTTGGTGTAGCCATGTTTCCACTTTCACAGTTAAATGATAAGTAACCATTTTTGATCATAAGTCAAAAATATCAAGCCTGTCACATGTGGTGGCAGACTTGTATCACATTATAAAAATAGGGAGACTTTTTACTTATTTAAAATTTTGGATTAAACAAGTTATTAATTATGCTATATAAGATTAACTTCACAATGTTATGTGTGATGGGTATGTAATGGATTGACAGCACACAGAACTGATCACAGCTTGACAAAACTTACATTCCCAAAAGAAACACTCTAAAGTTTTGGAACTTTTTACAAAAGACAGAGTTAATCAGTATTTACCACTTCAAACTATTAAGAATGTTAAATACAACATAATTGAAATCACATTTAAAGAGCAAAGCTCATACAGACTCTCAATACTCTGAATTCAACTCTAAACTAAAAACTTGGATCTGATGCTCTCTCTGACATTACATAGTTTTCCTTAGGCTGCCAAGTGCCTTCAGTTTTGAATTCTCAAAATTGCTGGAAGGCATATACAGTTAAAGTTACATATTAGATTCAGACCAATTACAGTTACACAAGGATCACACCCAAAAATTGCCAAATGGTCCTTACTAGCTTGGCACTGTGCTATCTCAACAATTCGGCAAGATAGACACTTCAATGTTAAATAAACCTGTCCCTGTAATCTCATATTTCCGACACAGCTTCACATTCTCAAGGCATTTCATGTTACATTATATTGGGTTGGAGGTAAAGTTCTGTCGTATTTTAAAGAAAATATTTGAATTCATTTATAAAAATATGTGTTTAATATTAATCAATTATATATGCTGTTATTTGTTACAACCTGTTGCCATCTTTCAGGTAACCTGTAAATTCCTGTTTTGTAGAAGTTCTCATCCTTGGAGTTAAAATAGTCAGCAACTGCCTTAGAAAAACTTTTAAAAGTCTTGAATTTTTTTCCTGTTAGATAATTTGCAGACAGAGATCTGAACAGGTAATAATCAGATGGTGCAATGTCAGGTGAATACGGTGGGTGACTAAGGACTTCCCATCCTAACGCATTCAGTTTTTGTTGTGTCACCATTGCAGTATGCGGTCGAGCATTATCGTGGTGGAACACTATTCCTTTTCTGGACTCTAATGCTGGCCTTTTTTCTTTGATAGCTGCATTCAATTTATCCAGCTGACTGCTGTACAGATCCATGTTAATGGTTTTTTTCCTGTTTCAGCAACTCGTAGTACATTGGACCTTTCCTGTCCCACCACAAACAAAGCAGTACTTTTCTTCGATGGATACTTGTTTTTGGAACTGTTGCTGATGATGTTCCTGGTTTGCAGTAAGATTTTTTTTCTCTTAACATTCTCGTAAAGAATCCACTTTTCATCTCCAGTAACCAGCCTGTCCAAAAACGGCTTCACATTGTGTCTAATCAGATGTGATGAACACATTCTTACACGATCAGACAAATTCTTTTCCATTAATTCATGTGGAACCCAAACACTTTGCTTTAACACAAACCCAAGAGATTTAATGTGATCTCCAACAGTTGTACGATGAATGCCAAACTCTTCTGCAATTTCTCGACTTGTTAAATGTGGATTATTTTCCAACATGGATTGCAAAACATCATTATCGATCTTGGATAGTCGTCCAGATCGATCACTTTTTTCGAGCCTCAGATCCCCAGAACGAAATTTGCTAAACCATCTTTGACAGGTACAAACATTTACAATATCTTTTCCAAATACCGCACATAAATTTTTACATGCAACCAATGATACGTCACTTCCTTTTTGGAATTCATACAAAATGCAGTGTCGTAAATGCACTTTTTTTACTGACATGTTTTTCACTTTAAAAATCACAAGTAAATAATGAACAGTAAAAAAGGACTCCTTTTATATTATACAGCAGCTGAAAAATAAAAATTAAAAAAAAAAAAAAAAAAATAAATCCGAATGACTCACTAGGCAGATTTTTTTTTTTTATTATTTACAAGAAAAATCACCTGCCTATTTAAAATACAACAGAACTTTTCCTCCAATCCTATACAAGAGACACTGATATTTTACATATAATTTCAGTAAAATTATTTACATATATATAAAATTCATAACAGCATCTTTTCTACACAATTTTGGGAACATTTAGCCAAAATCGAATCATTTACCACAAGAAGTTCACCTAATGATGGAAAACTCTGACGAGTCAAAATTTTTCATATGTTGAATTTATTATCAAGTGAATTTCGATTTTTGCTTGACAAGTTGAATTTTTGATTTGAAACTTTTTCACTTACTTCAATTTTAGCTTATCCGAATTTTATTTTAATAAACTTAATTTTAGCAATTTTAAAGATTACTGCATTTACCTATCTCGATCTTAAATTCACTTTTTTAACACACTGCCTAGCTTTTTGTTCATTACATAAAAAATATTTTTATTACTTAAATTAATATCTTATATTGTATTTATTAACACATAAAATCTAGAACTGTGAAACACATCTGATACAAAAGATAAAGATAGCTTCAACATACCTGGCATAAAGTTCAGCATCTATTTTGGTTACATCAAACACTGTCTTATCTTTCATCAAAAATATGTTTTTCAAATAAGCTTTAAAAGCCTAGAAAATAATCATCAATTAATAGGTTTCATAAGACATATTTTTTCCTGATTTATTACAGGGCAAAAAAATAATGTTTCATAAGATTAACATTTATAAACAATACATTTCTCAGTATTATATCATCCTATTGAAAACAAGTTATTAACTAATATACACCCCAGAATACATTAAAATGCATGTAATTGCTCACTGATAAGCTGTTAGCTCAAATAAAATAAATTACAATACAATTATAGCTATGAAAGAAAAAACTATATGAAGGCACCAAAAGAATTTGATAACTGAAATTCATGTTGATAATCATTAAAAATTACATGCGTAAACAAATTGCATGCAATTTCTTAATATTAAAATGAACTGAATACTGAATAATTTAATGTAAGCTAAGTGCAATAAAATTAATATCTAAATAATTGAAACAAACTGAATACTGAATCATAGAATGTAAGCTAACTGCAACACATTAAATATCTAAATGACATATCCTTTACTTTGTACAAGGAAATAAAAAGGCTCATAACAGACTAAGATCTTACTGAAAATGCACAAAATAAAAATACCTTCCATTTCTAAAATTATATAATATAGTTATTATTTCAAGCTAATTAAAATGCTCATTTATCACCTAATTAGGCTATTAATAATGAATAACTTTCTTTCTTTGGTATATTTTATGCATATAATTTTAAAATATAAGGCAATTTTAAAAAGTGATTCAAAACACACAAATTCTAAAAGAAATAGCAACTCTTGACTCTTGTTACACAAGCTATTAAGTTGCTTATCTTCCATAATGCATGGTTAAAAACAAACATGTTAGAAAATATCATATAAAAATTAATGTATTTAGAAATGCCCAGATATTGACTTTGAACCATATAAACAGAAGAAAAATAAATAATGCACTTTAAAAATTACTATTCTGGAAATATAACATTGAAAAGCACTCCAGATAAATAAGGAGAATGAGTGGGAGATTGTGGAAAACAGCAAACTATTGATAAAAACCTTTGTTCCTGCCATCAACATAGCAAAAAGAATAAATTTAAATTTTTGTCTACAAATATTATAAGTTGATGTTTTCTCATTCTCTCTCTGTGTGTGTGTGATTACGACAAAGCCTCGAGGGCTATCTGCCTAAAGGAAGGGATGCCTTCGTGGAGGACTTTATAAGGTAAACTGGCTCCTATACACATTACACAAGGGGAAAACCCCGAAAAAGCCCATGCAGCCAGCCCGTTTGCAGGATTCGAACCTCGGACCGAAATACCAGCATTCAGCGACTTTACCGCTCGGCAGCTGGTTGGCCTTGTTTTCTCATTCTACTGTCTTATTTGGAATAGTTTAATAGTATCTCACATTAATAAAATACTGCCCGGTTAATGAGTAATATATTTAAAAAAAAAATTATACACATTTTCAATGCAGAAATATTGTTGTTTACACTCAGGTTCGCAGAAAATTTCAAAAATCCATTGATGGAGTATGCAATCACTTAACTTCTGTAACTTTTTTAAGGTTAAAGTACCAGGATTCCTATTAAATGTTTTTAAAAATCTGATTTAAATCCAATATATAAACTACACAAGAGAAATGATAAAAGTATGGTCTTTTATTTGTAATTTAAAATGTGTTTAATATGGGACTTTATCAATAAATGCTAGCAATAAAAATGTTACCAAAAAGAAATGACTGATTTAGTCCACAGTTAGAATTTTTCTATAAATTGAAATGCAAAACGTTGTACGAATTAGTTCATATAAAATACCAATTTAAAAGCAACTAAATTACATAATAACTAATTTTGGAATTATTTAAAAATTTATTTATAATGCTGTGTAATGAAATTCTGCAAAAGAACTACATAATAAAATACCCCAGAATGAATTAAAACACAAATACAATATAAAAGCACAAAAGGCGACTTGTGGTTTAGACCACAGATGTGGTGTATCACATGTTTAACTAACATTATTAAAAATAAAATACCTACTCTTTGACCAGAATCTTTTAAATTTACATCTCTTGCACATATAGCTTCTAGTTTCCTCTGCATGTTATACAGTTTACTTGGATTTACTCTGAAATGCAATGAAATAATCAGCAGTTTGTTATACAAAAACAAGGCAACTACTGTAGGAAATTCTATGCTAACAGAATGCAAAATCAGAGATCTGGAATTATTGGGATTTCAAGGATTGTGGATTTTATATCATCAATTGTAATCTACTAAGATGACATGTAGAAATTATTAAATAAAAAATATGGAACGGTTATGATCTTACAGGAATTAAAATTTGTTTTCTTAAACACTTTCAATTAATTAAATTTTTTTTCTTAAAGTTTTTTGTGTTAACCCTTTCAATGTATGTGTCTGTTAATACTTTTCTCTCTGGTGTGGATTTAAAACCATAGTTCAGATTTCACCATCTGTTAGTTGAATGATGATTGGGGCATTGTCACTGCTACAGAAAATTTCTGTTATATAATCTTCATTTAGTATCGCATTTCCGCATCTCATCCCATCAATTCGAAAATTCCACCTTTTACATGTGATATTAAAAAACCTTCAAATATGAGGCTATCATCATCATCATTACTAAGTCTTTAGTGAGAATTTATTGCACAAGACACTGTATTTAATTATGTGATACTTTATTACATATAAAACACATCATCACTCGCATATACAGGTACAGCTCCATTTACTGGCACTCTCAGCCTCAGTTCTGGTTTACAATAGCTTTGTGTGCTTGGTGCTGCACCAGCTTTAAGTTCAATCACCATTAAGTTCTCGATACACTACAATCATCATAACCACCGTCAAATACGGTAGCTGGCATAAATTATATTAAGCATTTTAAAAAACATCTGCAGGCATATCCTTTCACGACCTTGCGATACTCTCCACAGCAGATTTTATGTTCAAATATTTCAAAAATTCTAGAATGGTTTTGCCCCTGTTCACAAGTTAATGCATGCCACACTTCAATATCCATTCACTAAATGATGAATAAATGATTTGGAGGAAAGAATACAATAAACATTTGAGCCTCTGTAATGAGGACAAGTTTTACATCACTCAGTACCAATCGATTTCAAAAGCCTTAATGATTAAATAACACTTTTTCATCATTTCTTTCCATACAAAAATTTTCAGCTCTTGGCTTTCATCACAAAATAGCATTACAATCTTTTCATACTTTTCACCTCTTAAAAAATGCTAAAAACTCTTCTCACTAGAAAATTAATTAAAGCTACATTTTTTTTTATCTTACTTATGATGATTTTGTTTAGTTCTTTTTTACTTTTACTAGTCACTTATTACTAGTTTTTGTAATGTTTATTTTGATGCTACATTATATATACAAGAACATATATAATTTATGCTTATATGAAATTTATAAACACTGCATGCAAATAAAAATTACAGGTTTACATTAAATATCTTAGAAGAAACATTTTTAAAGAATATAAAATCAGAGAGCATTACATATATGGGTGAGAAAAATGAAAGGACAACTATAAAAACTCTTGTAACTTAAATGAGTATTTTCTGATGTCCCACCAAAAAGTCACAGACTGGTTGACAGTTAATTTTTGTGCCAAACTAATGCACAAAAGGCAAGACACTTTCGAGAATTCCATACAAGAGCACTCAATCAATGCAATTAAAAAAGCAAGAAACATTGGTAATAAAACAATTACCTTTTCAACGAGTCCCCCCTTTTTTGTACTGTGTTTCTTTCCATGTAAAAAATGATCTGTTTAAAAAAAAAGTACAGAAAATCGCACAAGCTCCATATCATACAACTTTGGCATTGCACATTCAGCCAAAACAGACACGTTCTGCGTGCATACCTGGATCGTCACACGACTACTTTTTGGAACATCACAGGTTGCCACATAACTATTTTAGCAACATACTGTTTTGTCTAAATAATGTTACATGACTTTTTGGGCATAGATAGTTAGAAAATACTATTGTATACTTTGTAGTTAAAAATATAAAACTTGTAGATCTTTATTATTTTATCATGCCTAGCATGACTTCAAAATGCAGAATTGCCTTTTATTGCAAGAAATGAATTTAAATAAGAACATAGAAATGTGATATAAAGCAGGGTAACGGAAAAAAATGGTACAACAACTTCTTAGAGATACACAGGAAAATTAATAAGGTATGGTCACTTGAACAGAAATGCAAGTTTTACAGTGATTTTCCATGATGTGAATTAGATTTTCCAGGATCTCCTATAGTGTACTGATAATATATAAGGTTTTGAATCTCTTGGAAAGTGCTAGGGTGGGAGCTACAGTGGCAAAGTCAGTGCCCTAGTGCATACCACACGTTCTGTTAGATTTTAATCTAAAGAATATGTCCGCCACTCCATCCATTGGATTCCCTCATGATCAAGATAATTGGTCACTAGTTCAGCACAATACAGATAAACATCACTATTTGTCAGGAGGAAGCTATTATCAATTGCACTCCTAACCTACTTGAAATAAGGATCAAGAACTTCGTTTCTGTATATTTTAGCAATCATAAGTGCATTGGTAAAAATGTTTCAAGATAGTGCGGCAATTCAAAATGATTTGCTCATCTATACCATAATTCCATTATCTCTGCAGGTATGCCTTTCAAGGATGTTTTCAAACTTAGTGCAATGCATTTTGTTTGCTCTAGATTGTAACATGTCTGGAATCAATCTCCGAACAAAAACAACTTGATTGTGTAATTCTGCACCACTGTAATCAGGTGCATTTCCCAGCCCAATTTAGAGGGGCATAAATGATGGGTGTCCTTGCATATAGCCCTCTTTCATGAGCATGCCATTCACTGTATATCTGGATAGTCAACTTCTTGCAGCTGCAGCAAATTCCCTTAAAATCTGGGCTAATGTCAATTATCCTTTCTTTAAGCAATTGTTGCCAAATAACAGCCAACAGTCTGTTGTGGCATGTTTTCGATCTTGATCTGGTTGTATGCATCAGCATCTTTACACCAATTCCAGCTTCTTAACAGAATGCTTTTGGATACTTTTAAGAATTTAGAGACTTGTGCACTCATTTCCACACATGTCAAAAGAACAGACAGAAAAATCTGCATATTCCCTTGTAGTGAAGGCGAATCCCATTAAATTATGTGCTAATGTTGAACTATCAAACAACTACATTTCATTGGCCTTCCTGCAATAGAATTAGCATAATTTTTTTTTCTTTTTTTTTTTTACAGTTGTTTCTTTGATTTTTCTGCCTGTGTGCATGATGCTCTGCTGAATGCAATTTCAAACTGGGAGGTGGAGAGAGAATCATTTTATTTAATTGTAAACAATAAATATCTTTCTTCCATGAAATTGCAACATTAAAAAATATCATTATATTTTCTTTAAAAAAAAGATCTAACACTATAAAAGCACTGATTTCATCAATATGTATTTAATAAATAAATAATTTTTAACTTAAACTAATAAAACTTTGACTTGAGTAATCACTAAATTGCATAAAATATAAAATAAATGACACGAAACTCCTGAAATATAAAGCAAACCTCATAATGCTGCACATATTATTGACTGAATTCCTGTTAGCATTCACAAAATAGCACATAACACAAAAAAGATAAAATATTTCTTCAATCATTCACACATACAACACTTAATTTCTATAATTTTCCTCTACACACAAATTCTATCACAAACAGAACATTTTGTTCTTACTTTATTTCCTCTATTGGTATTTTTCTGTTTTTCAATTGTTCCACCATAGATTCTTTTTCAGATGGTAAAAGAACAAGCAAAGATTCACCACCTTTCTGATACCTAAATGAAACAACAAGGTATTTAAAAACATGAAAATTCTCTAATGTATTATCCTTATGTTTAAAAGCAGTACATAACTTTGTATTTTCCCTTTGCATGAGATAAAATAACCATTAGAGAAGTAATAAAATGTCTTATTTTTGAGCAGATTCTTCAGATCCATTTTTATACATCTCTAGTTTTCTGATCATCTGATAACCAAAAAAGGAAATAAATTACTATTCCAAATGAGCTTTAATAGGTAAAGAAGCATGTACTCTATGTGCTACCAATGATTTTCAGTATCTGATATATTACAATATTGGCTGGGGGGGGGAGAGAATTTGTACAAGTAGAAAATGTTGAGAATTATTGAATCAGGAAATTCCAGTTGAATATAGATGAACTCTACAAGAGAGTTTAACATTAAAAACTAAAGTTCAATAATTTAAATAATGTAATACTCAGATTACATAAAGCTGGCTGGTGTATGAATACTAGAAATATCAAGCATACCAGTACCAATGAGGATTGGATTGGATTATTCAATTATGGCAAAGCACACAAGGCTATCTGCCTAAAGCGAGGGATGCCTTCGTGGAGGACTTTCTAAGGGAAACTGGTCGTATACACGTTACACATGGGGAAAACCACAAAAACACCCATGCAGCCAGCCTGTTCGCGGGATTCGAACCTTGGACCGAACTACCAGCGTTCAGCGTCTTTACCGCTCGGCCACTGGTGGGCCCCAGTACCAATGAGATACAAACTTAAAAAGATAGAATTAAGTTTAGTGACAAACTTGTTTTCTATGTTAAGAGGCAGCCTACCACTTAATTAATTGGAAGAACTGGATATTAAAAAAAAAAAAAAATTACTAAAAAGCTTGAAAAACAATTTCAGTTAAGTTCTCTTATAGTAATGGTCAGTGTCTATTTGTTAGTAATAATAGCTCTCCTAAATGACCCATTTTTCAATATTGGCAATTAAATTTACTTTGAGCAAAATACACTTTTTTACATGAATACTATTTTATATAAGTATATATAAAACTAACATACATTTATCACAGATGGTTTATAGTTTAGTATCACTCAACACTCATTTTCAGAGATGACTGCCTCTTTTTTTTAACTTGCCACCATTTTCTAAGGGCATTCATATTACATTTTAGACTAATTAGCATATTTAAAAGCAATTTCCCCCAAAATGCTAAAAATTCTAATGAATTCATTACTCCTACAAAATAATGACAAAGTTCACGGCTAGTTATACTTTAAAGACTAAACTGGATTATTTAGATAGTGGCAAAGCACATAATCTGCTTAAAGGAAAGATATACAGAGGACTTTAAGGGAATCTAGCCTGTTAGTCATGCTACAAATGGAAAAACCCATGAAGACGCCTATGCTGCCAACCAATCTGCTAGGATTTGAATCCAGATCAAAATAATAGTGGTCTATACTTTTATCACTCCGCTGCTAGTGATTTGTTAACACATACAGAGAATTATCCTTTTTTGTTACTTTAGTACTTACAACATCAACATAAAAAATAAATAAACATGCATGTTTTGTTATTTTTTTTTTTTTAAATGCCTGCTATTCTACAGCTTATTTCTTCAGCCAGATCCTCCGCTTTATTAATTTCAAGGAAAGTGATTCATGTTCCTAACCAATTACTAAAAAAAAAAAAAAAAAAAAAAAAAAAAAAAAAATTAGGAAGGGGAATTGATTTTTTTAACACTTTGAATTTGCACTTTCAACCTTTTTAATTTAAACCAATTTACTCCTATGTTGCATTCTATATAAATTCAGTTTCAAGTTGCTACCATCTGTTAAGATCAAAACTTCATATTTTCTGCAGAAATAACTATCAAGTAACCAAACCAAAAAATTATCTCAATATCAGATTGTTGCAATAATAAAAAAAATCTATGAACAAAGATTTTAGGTTGATGCAATTAAAAAAAAAAAAAAGGTTCAACATTCAAACAAGTCATTTAACAACATTAAAAAATATTAGGTTCAACATTCAAACAACTTATTCAACATTCTGCAAGCAGTTTAAAAAAATTAAATTTAGTAGCTTGTTCTTAGAAATGAATATGCACATAAAAATAACAAAACTGATAACAGAGAGGGAAAAGCAACAGTTTATAGTTTGAACAAAAACATGAAATGATAATTGATAAATAACAGAATTATTAAATTCAAACATAAAGAACAACAAACAAAATGATGATCATCATTAATTGGACAATCAGCTCATTAGAAAAGAAACTGAAAAATGTTACTGAATAATATCTCTGCATTTCCATCTTATCAATGAAGAAAACATATTAACTGAAATTTATATTGCATCTCAACGAGTCTTGTCACAAAATACAGCAGAAGAGACTCTAAGATGTTTTAAATCAATTCAATCACATTCTATAAATACGCAAACTGGGTTTCAAAGTATAAATTCAGTTATATTTCTGGCATTCAATGAAAATGATAACTTCTACTACTAAATCCTATCTTAATATGTCACTACTGCAATCCAAAAAAATAACCAAAGGTTTTGAGTTTCATTACAAATCATGCCCTTAAAGGTCCTTATGCAATCTATTTTCACAACTGTTGAACACTGACTTCCAGTAACAAAAATGTTTTAAATGATGTGAAATTTATATTATAATACTTTAAATAATCAATTTTGTAAAAATTACAAAAGCTAACTTTTTTTACAGTTCCCAGTTCTAGAGCTATAATTTAGTAGTTTGTACTCCTAAAAAGTTGAGATTTTTAAAAGAATTTTTGTGTCAAAAACTAGTTTTCATCACTTTCATTGCATTTCACGAAGTTTCAATGGTTTAAAAATAAATTACAATACTTCAAAGTCCTCTTCCCATGTAATCCCATTGAGTGATTACTAATATGTAACATTCTTTAATTTATAACTTTGTTAATATTTAGTACCTTGAAAGCATTTTTGCAAAAGTAATTCGGTGGTAAAATGCTAAAAATATGTTAATATAGTCGAATTCTGATCATCCGAATACCTCAGAACAATGGACTACTGAATTTTCGGAATTAATAGGTAATAAATTTCTCAGCTTTGTTTACATTTACCCTCTTTTAATTTTTATATCAAATTTTAATTGTTTGTACCTAAATAATTTATTAAATCATACTTGAGGGTTATTTGATCAATTTATCACATGAAAATATTAAAAATATATTTTTACAAGGAAATATTATACTTACAAATATTGCTGTGGTGGTGAGAAAGGATAAATGATAAGACTTTTTATTTTTTTAATTCAAAAGATTAAAAAAAAAATATGTCTACCAGCAAAATAGTTTCTTAAATAACTTTCATGCTCCTACATCAAAGAAAATTACAAAAAAACATTTAAGTACTTGCATTCAAGTATTAAATAAGTTAATTATAACTAGGTTACAAGTAAATTATATTCAGGTACTTGCTTAAGTACCTAAATGCTCTGTCTGTAAAATCTTGGTGCAATATTTGACATTTCAGCACTAAACGATATTTGGGTTTAGTAAGTATTAAAGCTTAAAAAGTCATTTCGTATAAATACCTAGTGCTGAATGGCAGAAGACCATTTAATGCCATTTCAAAAATTGTGAGAAAATCAGTTCTAGTTCTGATTCAGAATTAAGTAACAAATTTTGTGGAAGCTCAAGTTTTAAATTTCAATCACTCGATAAACTTACCAATTCCTTTTGGGCTATATATAGCAGTAATTAATCTCATAAATACCAATCAAATATGGTTTTTAAAACCAAGCTAATTTTTTGAAATGAAAAGCTGACATAAGTATCTACAAGAATATGATACTAGGGTTTTTAAGTTACCTATAATAGTTTTTGCAATTGCTTTTTTTTTCAATAATAAAACTGTTGATAGTCAAAAATATTTTAAATGAATCATTTCCCAACCTGTTTCTTAGATATTTTTAAAGAAACCTTTAATTGTATCACTCAAAATAAATATGTTGCTATTTTTTCCTTTAATAGACAAATTGAGATCATTTATCAAAAATATCTGACAAATAGTATAACTTAAACAACCATAAATTATTTTGAAAAAGAGCAGCAAGATAAGATCTTTGTTTCGTTAAAAATACAATAATTTTGCCTTTTAATAACAATAATCTTAAACTTTCTTTTCTTGATTTCCCTCTTACTTCCGTGTTTATTAACAAATTTTTGTATTCGGAGTAGTTTGCAGAATTTTTTTTTTTTGAGAAAAAAATGGCTATTAAGAGCACAGCTTCTAATAAAGTTTTTAATTCGGACAGCATATTATTTAATTCCATTGCTGATTCTCACTGCTACAAGGGCCTCTCAGTAGATCAGCAGGTAGCATAAATTCTATAAGATTCTGAAAAATAAGATCATACCGATCAAAACTTTTTATGGTAGTCTGCATATAGTTTTTCATTATCTAATGTATTAGAAATATTAGGAACTTTTTCCTAAATTGATATTTTATTTTTAGTTGCATACAAATTTAAATATTTCACCATAGAACCCCTGAACTTTCAAGAAATATACCATTTTCACATTTTAAAATTATATATTTTGGCCAATTTTTGTCATACAAGAGCAAAATTTTATTGAATAGGAATTGAAAAAGTGTAAAAAGTAAGATTTCATAAATTTTACAACTGATTTTTTAATTTTAAGTATGGCAAAATGTGAATATACGCTGCATTTAAAACATTTCTATAGTTAGAAAAACATGTCTTTGACTGACAGTTGTGAAAGTAAAAGTCAGGACAGGAATTTAATGTACATGCTATATAACAATATTCTACATAAAATGTTCTGCAGGTAGCTTACAAACATTTAATTGTTTAGCAGAAATGAGTATGATGTAGATAAAAATAACAAAACTGAAGAAAATGGAATAGTTTATACGAAGAATGAAAATATATAATAATATTTGACAAATTACAAAATTCTTGAATTCATTCTAAAGAAGATGAAAGAAAATAGTGATCACCATTAACTGAACTATTTTAGAAGAAATATAAAGATGTTAGTTAATGATTTTCTCTGCATTTCTATTTTAGCAATGCAAAAAAAAAAAAAAAAAAAAAAAGTATTAACTAAAATTTATATTGCATCTCAATGAGTCTTATCATAAAAAAAAAAAAATAGAATGAAAAGACACTCTAAGATGCTTCCAACCAGTTATTATCCTCTCTCTACCTTCCAGAAACTACAAAATAATACCTTCAGAGTTCAGAATACAAATAATTCCAGCACTTAGTGAAAACAAATGCCCATTTTCATACAAAATCATATGTCAATGTGACTCTTGCAATGCAAAAAATCTCCATAGGTGGCAACTAAATGCTTCATGCATTATTATATAATATAAAATACATATTTTCTTACAAAGTAAAACAATCTACAGCTTCAAAAAAATTTAGTAGCTAAATACTATAAATAATATGCAGATAAAAAGGAACAGAACAAGTTACACTCATGGTGTTCGAATAAGAACATGGTACAACAAATAAGCTTTTTAAGTTTATCAAAATTAAGTTATTGCTTTCCTTATGCACAATACCCATAGCAGTAACATTCAAAACTGCAACCTGTTTTTCTTCACTTGCTTTTTTAAATGGTATTAATCTTCAGCGATGCAACACAATAACATTTCTGAAGGTGCGCCTTGTATACTTTTAGTAGAATTTTAACTACATTAAACTGAATTTTTAACAAGCACTATTAATATGGCGAGGTAAACAAAGAATGTATATTAAAAAATCAACTAACATATATGATATTAAACCTTTAACACTAAAAAATATACTGATAAAAGTTTCCCCCTTCTTATGTACTGTTCCACGTTTAATTTGAATAAATACTAAACACAGTAATGTTACAATAATATTTACAATATTAATATTGGGGGGGGGAGACTTATTTGCAGAGATTAATGATACACATGTGAATGTCATTTGTTTTTTAACTGATACATATTTTCAGTTGTATAATAATTCATTTTAACAGTGATATAATTTATAAATTTATCATAAAACAGTTAAGACATTCTAAAGAAACATATGTTTATCACCTTATTCATTCTGGTAGTACCTGTAAAGCTGAATCAACTCAAATTGATTTATTTAAATAACTTTATATGACTGTTTTGCATTTTCAGCTTGTTCATGTTTTACAGTATACATTCATTTCCTGAGCTTTAACGCTAATGTCCACACTTCTATCAAACTCAGAAACTAATTGCTGATAATGCTTTCCCTTTTTTTGAGGGGGATGCCATTTCATCAACATAAATTAACCTGAAAAGGGGAAACCAGTTATGCTAAGATGCAAGACCAATTTTTTCCTTGTTATGGAAAAAAATTGTAGGATTAAATACGATTCAGTAATTTCTATGATTTATACTTGTTTGTAAAGCAAAAATATTTCCATTTTTTTCAAGGGGAAGAGATCAGCTTTTGATCACTTTTCAGAAAGAAATCCCTAACACGAACTTAAATTGGTTGTACCCATTCTGAGTTATAATTTGTTTGCAAGTTGACCTTATTTACCACCAAAAGGTTCATAAATTACAAAACACAGATCTTTTATGAGGTTGCTATAATAGGTATACAGAATGTATAATTAATGTTACTTCAGCATACTATTTTAGTGATGCTGAAAATTCATTAATTAAAATTTATATGGCATCTCAATGAGTCTTAACATCGAAAAACAGGGTGAAAAGACACTCTAAGATGCTCTCAAAGTAAGTTTAGTAAAAATGCAACTAAAAAATAGTATAATCTTAGAACTAATATACGTCAAAATTATTTTCCATCTTTATGAACTGCTTAATACTACAATCAAATACGGAATTTGAATTACCTAGCAGTTCGTCCAGCACGATGAATATAAGTATTAACATCTTCCGGACAATCCAACTGAACAACCCAATTAACATTAGGAAAATCTGCAATTAATTAAAAATTAATAGTTCACAGCATTCTATCTACAACAAGTTATTTACTAAGATTAAAAACTCAAGACAAAAAAAAAAAAAAAAAATTAAAACAGCATATACCCAGAGCATTTATGTTAAGGTTGCATAGTTGTTATATGCTAACACATGGTTTCGTTATTAAACTAAACTAAAAAATAAAGCTTCTTTACACTTTTAATAAGTATATATACTTATAAAATGTGATGTGTTAAGAGTTTCAAATATGTCAACATTTTACTCGTATCATATATTATTTGATTATTACTTACATTATTTGCAAAAATGCAGAAAATAAAATAATTAACATTTTAGTTTAAATATCATTCTTACTTTAAAAGAGTGTGAAAAGTTTATTTTATAATCAGTAAAATTTTTGGTATTGTTCTGTTAGCAGGACCAGATTCAGAAATGCATGAATGTATATACACATACACACATTCGTACTTACATATACATGAACACACACACATCAGGGTTGCCACTCAAACAGGAAAATAAAATTCCCTGACTTTTCCAGGTTTTTTTAAAGAAAATTCCAGTCCATCCGTGCAATGCACATTGGCTGTGCTAAAAGATAAATTAAAGAGGGTACCACTTGAAAACAAAAAAAATTTGCCAATTACATATGACTTATAATATATAATCCCCAAAGCATTACTATTATAACTATAATAGTTGTTTTCTCCACTGAAGATTGAGATTAGAATCTGCCCAATCTGGTTTTAAAAATGTCTTTTTTTGCAGACATTTTGCAGCTAAACGAAAGAAAAATCTTTTTAGTGATATTTTAAAATAAATTCAGGTATTTTATATTTATTTAGTAGAATATATAAGCAAAAAATATGTGCATTAAATTTCGTGATAGTAAGTTATCATATTGCTAGAATTAATTTCAGGATTATGCCAGAGACAATTTCCTGAAATTTGAAAGTATTACAGTACAAAGTCCATAATCCAGACGTTCATTATTCAGAATGATCTATAATCCGGACCTCAAAGCCACAAACTCTTTTTTTTGTTTTTTGTATGCTTTACGCATGCGCATTTAATGTATAACGAATGGTATAAGCCACGCTAAAATGAACTAATTATCTATTTCAGTTAATGTTGGAGATTGCGTTGTTCCTTAACCTTCTAATTGGATTCGGTTTATTATTTTTTGCAGACTGTTTGAGCAATTTTATAAAAAGTAAGCTTGAACTTTCGATTATGTCAAAAAGAGTTTCTGTTTCTGGAGCCGCCAAAGGCTGTTTGGCATGCGAAGCGAAAGCATGTTTCAATGTCCATCAAACAAAAAGTGGAATTGCTGCAAAAAATGGATAAAGGCATATCTGTCTCAAAATTATGCAAGGAGTATGCCACTAGAAAGTCAACTGTATATGACATAAGCAAAAAGAAAAAAAAAAAAAAACTTTTTGAATTTTTTGTGGATTAAAGGTGAAATTTTCCAGTTATTGGATTTTGTAAAGAAATGTGGGGAAGCAGTAATAAATGAAGATGATATAACAGAAAATTTTTCATTGCGACAACAATGCCCCAATCATCAATCAATTAACGGACAGTGAAATCTGTAGTATCCTGATCCAGAAAATACCACTTCCGATAGTGAAGAAAGTGGCAGAGAGGTTATTGAAAACAAAATTTCGACTGACAAGTTAGTCGGTATTCTTGACACAGCAATTACAGAACTTGAACTGTGGAACTTTGAAACTGAACAAGAAATTATGTCTGTTTATAGAATTAAAAGAGAAAGTATTAGCACAAAAAATGAAGCAACTTAAACAACTTACATTGAAAGAGATGTTTAATAAAGTAAACAAATAAATATTAAGCCTTTTTTTTTGCAAATTTTTATACCCTTTAGATCATAATTGCTCATTAATTCAGAAATTATGGTTTCATACTTTTAATTGTATAATTTCTGCATGCCATCTTACCAGATTTAAATTGATGATCTATAATACGGAAAACCCCCCAATCAGTATATCCACTAAGTCCCGACGAGTCGGAATTACGGTATGATAGTAATACAGAATGTATAATTAATGTTACTTCAGCATACTATTTTAGTGATGCTGAAAATTCATTAATTAAAATTTATATGGCATCTCAATGAGTCTTAACATCTAAAAATAGGATGAAAAGACACTCTAAGATGCTCTCAAAGTAAGCTTAGTAAACTTCTCTAAAGTAAGCTTAGTACTATAATTTTTGTACTTTATTTACTAATAAATAAATTTAGAGAGAAGAAGCAACATTAAATGACACAAATAACATTAAAAAAGATAATTATTTAAAAATTGAATTAGAATAATCAACGAATATAATTAATACATTAAATAGTTAGCCTAGGTGACTGATTACTATTTTTTTATTTTACTGCAAAATGACAAATAACGCATTTATAAAAAAAAGGGGTGTTAAAAAGATTTTGCGATAAAATCCTAGTATACGCTACAGCCTTGGCACGACTTTGAAAATTGTCGCCAACAGTTGACCAGTTTACTACTCATCATAATATCCCCAAATCCCCTGTATACGTTACATGGAGGCTATTCTAACCTCCACTGTACCCTGTCTCTTGATACTCAAGGTTACTGGAAACTTGCTTTGCCTTCTAAAAGAGAATCTGATTGGAGCTGCGAAAATGGGCTTTATGGCAGCTGGCTGAATGATGCTCACATGATACATAATTCACCAAGGAAGTGATTGCTTCCAACGTCAGCAAAAACTCGCTTTTTTGGGGGGAATAGCCATATGAAATTCCCTGACTTTTGAGATTTTGACCAAAATATTTAAATTCCCTGACTGTTCCCTGAATTTTTGGTCAATTTTCGAATTCCCTGACTTTTTCCGGTTTTCCAGGTAGCGTGGCAACTCTGACACATATATCCATACATGCATGCACATGTATATAGTTTTCAGAATCCGGTCCTGATAACAGAAAAGTACCAAATTTTTTAACTAATAAGCATACAGCAGTTAAAAAAAAAAAAAAAAAAACTCTTCAAAAGTTACAAAGCCATCTACTAACCAAACTATGCTACAGATTAGATTCACAATAAGCTTCATTTAACACTTGGCATGCGGTTATACTTCGCCACGAACTTATGTGTGCAGCGGGCATTTTTTCGTTAATCGCTCGAAAGTATAGTTATTCAGGAAAATCACAGTAAATCGAAAACTACTTCGCTTTTATGAACGAAACATTTTTATTTTACACTTAAATATATACTGTATAATTATTTAACCAAAAAAAAAAAAAAGATATTTTTACGAAATTACAAAAATAAACGATTTTTAAAATTTTACAATGTATTAAAAATATTTTTTTATAACAAGTACAAATAGAACTGATAATACGTTAATAGTTCTTTACAGTATGGCACCGTTTAAAGCATTTTCCTCTATGAAGAGGAACACGGCAGAAGCTACATATGAAACATGTTTCACTTCGCACTTTTTTGGCTGCGCAAACGTGACATTGTCTTTGTGGATTTTTTCTTCTTCCCGGCACCAACAATTTTCTCCAATACGTGTTTGCGCATATCCATGGACAATCTTCCAGGAGGGTCGCATTTTGATATCATTTGCTCTGGTTCTTCAGTGCTGATTTCAGGTAGTTCATCAGTAACCCAATGTCGTGCAAGAATTTATTGCATTTTATTTTTTGCGTCTTTGTCAAATTGTATACTATATATGCATTGAAAAATGCACAATTCATCATATACATAGTTAAGCGCTTTGTCCATTTCACTGTTTTACGCAAAATACTATAGCAGAACAAATACTGATCGTCCCGATCTACTCCTTTCATGTTCTTGTTGTAGTCGATCAAAACATTTGGCTTTATAATTTTTGTCTCTTGATACGATCAACATTACTACTTTCTTTCATTTCCGCGGAATAGATTGAGGACATGAGGCTGACTTCTTTCTTGGATTGCCAAACTTGTACCAATATATAATTTTTTCTTCGAAAGATTGTTTCTCCTTTTTTCAAATTAGTTTTTTTCAAGCACTCTGGTAGACCTCTATTTTTCCTAATTGTTCCGCAAATTCGTATTTTTTTTTTTTTTTTTTTTTTTTTTTTTTTTTTGTGAAAGGGCTTCCTTGTTATCAAGGCTGTTGTAGTAATTGTCCGTGAACAAATGGTGCCAGACATCAGTATATGGCGAAACTACTGTGAGTATCGTTTCGATCAAACGTAATCCTTGAGCTGCATAAACTTTAAAATTTCAAATATAAACAGTGTCACTTTCGGACAATATTCGTATGAATATGCCGTATTTTATAATTTTTATAGCGTTGTAAACTCTAAAAAACAATCGTCCTCTCCAAGGTATTATGCCCTCATCTAACAGATACTTGTTCATTGTTCGTAGTGGTCCTGTATAAGTCCTTATATTTGAATTTTTCAACAAAATAGTTTAGTATAGGCCTGACTTCGAATAATCGATCAGAATCGTCCGTGATATCTTCATTGTTATTGAAATGCCAAACCTTCCATATTTGGCAAAATCTATCCCTTGACATAGTTTTTGAAAAAAAAAAAAAAAAAAAAAAAATGGCGTACTTGTGCGGAAATTAGATGACCAATAATCGTCTCGGGCGTCTTGTCCCATGAAAATAATAAGCCCCAAAAATTTCTTCATCTCTGGAATCGTAATATCTCTCCATTTCATGCTTTTGGGAGATATTTTGAACTGATTCATATTTTGATAATAATACCTGTTTGATTCCTCGACTAAATATGCAAAAAAGTCATCACCTATAAATAACTTTACTGCATCAGCTGTGGATTCAGGAACATCAGCCATGTTAGTTATCCCAGGATGACCCAAAAACTCTTCAAGGTCTGGAGGATTGTCAGTTGATGACCATTCATCTGCTTCTTCATCAGAAGTTGTTTCAGAAGTACTAGAAATTCTTCTTCGGATGAACACTTGAGAACTTGGAATAATTTCATCA